AGACCAAAATTTTTTTTAAAAGTGCCCCATAATCTAAATTTTCCTTTTTTTTTTTTTTTTTTTTTTTTTTTTTTGCAAGGCTGGCAGAATTCAAGGCTCAGTTTAGTCCGTAAGATAAGTGGAAGATACAAAGAGTTCCCTCCTTTAGTCCAGCAAAGGCAGCTGAGACAGGCAGAGCTGGATAAGATGGATCAAAACCATCACGGTCCTCAGTGCCTTGGTGAGTCCGGAGGGTTTGCCTGATAGGTGGAGTCTGGAGTCCTTAGAGAAACCCGATGCGGTCGCCATGGCTTATTTCATCGGCAACTGCTGCAACAAAAAAAACCCAAAAAAAACACAGCAATGACGCCTCAGAGCTGCATGACCAAACTTTCAATCAGTGTTTTCTAATGTTTCAATATGTAATTTGACATACCATTTTCAAATAATACAACGATAATGGCATAATAATACCAGTTTGTTCTCTCAAATATCAATAATTTAATTTTGTAAAGAACAATTCAATCTAGAACTGTAAAATATTTCATTTTTTAGAAAAAAAAAAAAAAAAACACAACCAAAATGGAACATGAAACTAAACAGCCTTTCAAAAAAATATTAATCATCAGAATGAAAATTACAGTCAGTTTTAATTTATCATGGCTGCCAGTCTTAGCCAGGATTTTCTTGCAAAAGAGATTTTTAATCTCAATGGGATTTTCCTGGTGAAATCAAGGCTAATAATAACAGTAACTGATTTATTGCTTATTGTTGATGGGTTATTTGAACCCGCTTGCTTGAAAAAAAATAATAAAAAAATCCTTTAACATTCGGTTACTATTAAAGGAACTATAAGAGAAAATTATATCCAGAGCTGTATGTGGTTTATTTTAGCATTATAGATGTGAAGTGTGTCAACATGTTTTCTTCAAATTCATTTTGTTTAATCAAAAAGTCATCTTCTCCTGACATTTGCTCCTGGCAGTTGGCAGTTACCATAGCAACCGGTAACTGACAGCTCCTCCCCCTTTTTCTGTCGCCTTCAGTAACTGTGGTATTTATTACGATCAGCTCCTCGTTTTCTTTACAAGTATTACATTCTAACATATATTTTAGACAAGTTTAATTATATTCAGAGCTTTATACACACTTTGGCCATGTTTTGTTTTTGTTTTTATCCGTTTTAATTAATGGTGTGTGTTTTAACAGGGTTTCATTTTACCATTGAACTGCTGTCAACTGCTCACTGGGAGCTATTGCTCTGTAGTTTGTTTAGGGTCATTTATTGTATTTTGTTTAATGTATAAGGGAAGAAACTTTCTTGTTCTGTTGTTATGCATGTTTAAATTTTTTATATAAAGTTTTAATTATCAATTGTGTGTTAGTTTTTCAATGCTCCATGTGTGATTTTATTTCCTGTACTAAAAATGTATATTTATTGTAATTTATGTTAAAGATGAGATTGGTTATGTGGATTAATTATGTAAATTTAGCTAAATACCACTACATGATCACAGTCAACCCATTTTTTTCTGGTGCCGTCTGCAACTGTGGGGCAGAAGATGCTGGATTGATTTTAAACACAAACTTGATTTTCTCTCGTTATAATAAAAACAGTGAACCTGAGTGTGTCTGTTGTGAAGTCAACCTACTAAACCTGAGACGAACAAGGAAGGGTTGCTTACGTAAATGCTTTATGTGGAAAAAAAAAAAAAGTCAATATTTCAATACAAATATGGGGCAGTGGCTTAAATATGTCAGCAGGCGGCTCACAGTAACAGAAGCCAAAGTACGGTGTTCATTAAAGGACACCCTACACCAATAGCCAGAACCCAGAGATCAAATATAACATCTTGGTGACTTCTGCTGCCCTACATAAACATACCAAAGTGACATGGTTTACCTGGGGGTCTTTCGTCTCATGCAGCGGTTGCTCCTCAGTCTTCACCTCAGCAGGAGGAGCAGAGTTGGCCATCTGTGAGCTCCTGGTGACCGGACCCCCGGCTCGGTCCCTCTTTCTGAGCGAGACGCGCTCCTCTTTCTTCAGCTGTGCTGGCAGTGCTGCTGGAGGTGGTTTGACCACTGCTGATCTCTTAGTCGCTGGCTTTTTGCCCGTACGCTTCATTCTCATGGTTGGCCGTTGTGCTGTGTCACTGGGAGTGTCAGGAGGAGGCGAAGGGGGACGTAGAGCCGCAGCTTGGCCCTTTTTGGTTTTTTTGCGGGCGGGAATAGGTGCAGAGAGCGCGGCAGGCCTTTTTAATCGACCCACTGCAGAAGGAGGCTTTCCTTTGCTCACCTCAGTGGATTCAGGCTCTGCTGCAGTTAAACTTCGGGCTCTTCTCTTTCCCGGAGGTTTAGCCCGTGGCTCTGTCTGCACATCGTCTTCTGGAAGTCTCTTCCTATTTGTGTTCTTATCCACTAAAGAAACGGCCTCTTTTTTCACCTCTGCCAACCCTTTCTTGCCCTTTTTAGTGACGGCAGGTTTCATGGGGCAGCTGATGACCATGTGTTTATGCAGACTAGCCGTGTAGGTGAACTCCCGGCTGCAGTGGGGGCAGACGTTGGACAGCGGCACGTCTTCAGATTTGACCACCACCTTCTTTGCAGTACTGACTGTTCTATGTTTCTGCGAGATCGCCTTCTGGACCAGCTGGTTTTTCTTCTTACTCAGGGCGCTCATTTTCATTTTCCCCGTTTCCTGATTGAAGTTGAGTTTCTTTGGTTGCCCCATCCGACGGAACGCGCTCTGACCTGCAACGGCGGCGGCCTCCGGTGCAGTCTCAGCTGTTGTGGTGGGCGACACCATTCCATTGGGGCTCTTCACAATTTGCTTTAGGGGAATCGGGTTTTTCTTGGGAGTGTAACGCTTCTTGTCGCTGGCGTTAGCACACACCAGTATGTGCTTGTGCAGCTCGGGCATGTTGTCGAAGCTGTTGCCACATTTGGTGCAGCGGATGGCAGTGCTGAAGGTTTGCGGTATGTTGTGGGTGGTGAAGTTTGTAGCAGAGGCCACCGAACCAGAGTGAGAGCGGCTGTGGTAGGGGAAAGGTGGTGGTTTGAAACTGGGATAGTGTTGATTGATGCCAAGTCGGACGTCGGGACCTTTAGGCTTCCCTCCCTCTGAAGCCATGATCTTTATTGTAGTGTACAGCTCCTCGTTGGGGTCCTCCGTGTTATTCCCGTTCACATCGGCCTCCTCTTTTGCCGACACGTCATTTTTATTGGGCGTTCCTGGCACCGGCGTCGAGGGAGCACTCTCCTCTTTGGCTCTGGACGGATCAGTGTAATTCTGCGGCCTCAGCTTGCCGCTCTCTACAGTAGTATGAGTGCAGGACTCGTTGGGGTGAAGGTCCTTTTGGTGCTGCTGGAGGTTACAGAGGAAGGCAAACTCTTTGGAACAGACGGAGCACAGGAAGATGCGACCCACCCCATGCAGCGCCGTGCGGTGGGCCAGAACGGCTGCCTCGTCGCCAAACAGCTGGACGCAAAATTCGCATTTGAAGGGCCAGTCAGCAGCGTGATCTGTGATGTGGCCGCTGAGCTCTTTGATGGAGTCGAACGGCTCCTCGCACACATTGCACACGAAGGTCTTGCAGTACGTGGAGTCCACTTCCTCCGCCTCCCGGGTTTCAGTGGACAGTTTATCGAGAGCAGCAGGCGGAAGCGAGGAGTCGTGAGGTGAGTGGTTTACAGCAGACAAGTCGTCTTCACAGTGAAGAGGCTCTTCTTTCACTTTAATCTGGGGGGGGGATTGCAAAGCGGCTGATGGGGAGGACCTGTGTGATGCAACAGGAGGAGATTTGGAAGATGACGGCAATTCTGGTTGAGGGGAAAGAGCAGCAAAATCGGTTTTCAAAGATATTTCCGTTTCTTCAACCTGGGTTAAGCTGCCGTTTGTTAGACTGTTACATACTGCAGAAAGAGAAACATCAACATTTTTAGCCAGGTCTTCTGTTTTAGGTCCAGGTGGACTTGATGCTACCGACTGATTGGGGGGACTTTGGAGTGGAGTGCTTGGATAATCTTGTGGCTCAGAAATGTTACTCTCCTCTTCATCCTTGTTCTCCTCCGATGAGAAATTTTCGATAGAATCCGACAGATGCTTGGGTTCATCAGCTTTCGGAGACATTTTTGGCGAGAGGACCGGGAGGGGTGAATCCGAAGGCTGCGGCGAGCTGGGGAGCGTTGGAGGAGACGGTATAGTGGGCAGAATGGGAGGAGGCGGCGTCGGAGACGTTACACTAGAAGAGCTGGGCGAGGAGGGGTTTATTGTGACCGGAGTCAGGGAGGGCGGAGACGGGTGAGCAGAATCCGATGCAACATTTGGGGACTGAGTACGAAAACAGCTTAGGGTTGTCAGGGTTGAAGGCCCCTCCTCTCCTGGCAACGTTAGACCAACGTACTCGTTCATTAGCACCTTTTCCAACATGCTCGTGTTTGGCTTCTTCTTCTTTACCGGGGGTTGTGGCGCTAGCCCGCCCTTTAAATCGGGTTCTGGGGTGGCTTTCCGGTTTACACTTAAATCCAGAGCCGAGTCTCCAGTCGCCTGGTTTGGGCCGTCGCTTCGCTTGCAGACAGAGCTGGACAGATCCAAGGGCTGCTGGTTGCAGGAACTCCCCCCGCCGCTGGAGGAGGCGTGGCTTCCGGAGGAGCTTGGAGAATCTTCATCTTCCTCATCTAGGAGGCTTTCAGAAGGCACACTATGGCTTTCCAGCTTTGGCACCTTGAGGGCGTTTCCGCTCGCTGCTTCAGCTTTACAGCTTTCAGTTTTGACAGTCGGACTAAGCTGTGGGGATGAAGGCGGAGAACCGGTCCTCCTTTTGAACTTTCCAGAAGCGCCTGGAAGTGAGGCCAGTCTATGGCTCTCGGTAATAAGGGCTATTGTTGATTTTTGGAAGTCTTGCGTCTGAAGGAGCTGTTTGAGTTTAGGGGAGAGATAAATGGTTTTCTCCCTCTGAAGTGTTGATGAATCCTGCTGGAAAAGTCCTCCTACCAACAGGTTGGATGAGGACGACGAGGAGGATGAAGGCGAAGGAGCCGTTTCCGTCTCCACTTTCAGGCTGGTGACGAGGGGGGGAGTTGATGTTCTTCTTTTTGCTGCAGGCTGCTCATTGCTAGTGATTGGCTTTGTGGCGTTCGTTCTCGCCTCCACCTTCAGTGCTTGACTAATCTGATTTGGGCTGATGATGACCGTGTCCAGGCCAAACAAAGCCGCCGACCTCGTGTCCACTTCTATCACCTCACAGCTGCTTGCCGTGCTCGTTGACACAATCTTGCCATCAATGTAGAAGCTGAGGTTCTCCGAGATGTTTTTGGATATGTCGATGGCGTAATCGTCTCTGTCTGCCTCGTCCTCCGTGTCGGCACTGGGCATGTAGACCAGAGGAGGGCTGGCGCTTGGGGACGCGCCCGGCTGCTGTGTCGACGCCTCCTGCAGCAGCATGCCTTTCCTGCGAACTCCCTTCGGCAACAGGTGGCGCTCATGTATTCTGCGTTGGTGCCTGCGCATGTTAGTGTGTGTGCCGAACGCTTTGTTGCAGTACTTGCAAGGATGAAGCTCCTTTGACTCCCCGTTCTCATCAAACATCGACGGACGATCGGTGTGGAGTCCCAACTCTTTCCTCTGCATGTTAAACTGGGACCCTATGGCTATGAGCTGACTGGTTGGACTGGTGCAGTCAGGACTTGAATCAGTCTGCCCTGCAGGACTGAGGAGGCCACCAACTCCAGCCTGGGAGCCGGGCATCTTCTTGGATCCGTTTTCGTGCCGTCTTTCATGCCGCCGGCGCCCGACTTGTGAGCTGAAAGGCTTATTGCAGTATCGGCACTTAAAGACTTGTGCTTGCTGGTTGCTGATGCCATGAACATGTATATGGCGCTCCAGACCCTGTCTGGAGGAGAAGTGGCGCTCACAGTGGTCGCAGGGATAGGATTCTCCTTGGAGGTCTTCCTCCAGCTCCCCGTCGGGGTCCTGCTCAGGGTCTCCACCCCGCTGGGGTAGTGGGGGGCTCTCCTGTGGATCCTTATGGCTTTCTCCACTGCCAGATAGCAACGAGCTCGACTGCTCGGATAATTGCTTTGAGGTTTGGTGCTGCATTTCACAACTGTCATCGCCATTCTCTTCTTCTTCGTCCTCTTCTTCTTCATCTTCCTCATAGTTTCCCCTGTCCACCCCTGATGCGGACGTGTCCTGCAAATGCTTGTGGTTGGTGCTTCCTAAAGGATGGGCTTCATGGAGCTCCTGAGAGGTCCCTGACAGTCTCTCACCCTCCTCCTTATCACCTGAGTAAAATAAATGAAAATTGTGCTCCCTTAGTGAACATATTTTGAATTAATGGGTCAAAGTAGAGCTTTAATTACTAAACATTTGTTTAACTAATGAATAAATACTCACCTTCTCCCCCCTCCCACATTTCCCTGGCAGTAGTTTTGGTTCCACTTGTTTTCTTGAATCCACCCAAACCAGCCTGTCTGGCTTTCTCCACCAACTTTCTTCTAGCTGAAACACACACACACACGCCACTCCGTATTAGTCATGGTCACAACAAAGGTTTACAAGGCAAAGGCTTCAATTATGTTGATAGAGCTACTAGACAAAATAGTTAATCACCAAATTTTACTGGAAATTTTGTTATTTACCAATAAAGTATAATAAGCAAAAAGCTCAAGTTTCACTGCAAGCACAATAATAGCATGAAATGTCAATGAACCTCTATGAACACATTTAAATCTGCAACTATGGATGTGTGATATAGACTTTAAAGTCATTTTGGTAGATAGTATATTTATTTAACTTTACCACTGCACAGTCAGAACTTCAGAAAAAACAAAATGCATACCCAAAAATAAAACTTTACAAACATGTAACTATGCTGCTTAGCAGAACATTCACTGCATTTTATCATATTTTGACATGTAAATTGCATCATTTACCGACGTTGTCATGGAAACCAAGGGAACCATAGCTCGGATAGTAAAAGTAACGCACCCAATGACACTGCCATTTCTCAGTATTATCACAGGTTGGATAATTTTTATTATAACGATGCGAGTACGTCCCCATTTCTAAGCTGCAGTCTACTTCAGAATGACACCAGAAGTTAGTGTTCGACCAGATCAGCTCTTCACTTTATTAATAATTAAATTACTGAATGCATTAGGAGGAACCTTGGTCTGAGAATCATTTTAAGATGACAGCATCGGAGATACATCGTCTCCACCTTTTCCTCACTTCACCACGTCAACAATATCAGAAACTGACCACATCGGGTTTACAGTCTTGTGATTATTTTGATGATAGATTGTAATGTCTATATTTGTCCTGATTAAAATCGACGAGTCAGTGATTACTTTATTCCCTCTATGCTTTCTGTGCATGAACTCTGTTTTTAGAACCAGCAAACATTTTAAATCAAAACTGTGTTTTTTAAGAACATGTGTTTAGTTTGAAGACTTTCTATTCGTTAAGATTTTAAACTACAGCTGAACAAAGATAGTCCAGATTCCTTAAAGGTTGTGAAACATCCTTTTAATAAAACGCCAAGTTGATTTAAAACTTCAGAGCTGTCCACTTGTCGACTGTATTGGTATTTACATAACTACTACTGGTTGTTTTTTCATTTCAACACTACTCCACAACATTTTATCCTTCTCATCTCCACCAGATGTTTTTACACTTATGATACCAACCATGACTGGAGTTTGTTATCTGTTGAGTCTCTGACATTTCAGTAAAAGTTCAGTGTGTGTTAATGGTGAGAAATGACGCAGCGCACCATGGCGGTACCCTGCGAGTACCGGTCCAAACACGGCCTGTGGCTATGCAGTGTTTAAGATGCTCATGCAATGCAGTGGTGCTACAACTGAAGATGAGCTCCGTTTTAAACAAACAATCTGAATTCAACGTACTGGAGACACTGGAGATTATTCTGTGTAGACGTTTTTTCAGAGTGCTACTCCACACATTTTTAAATTACGCAGCTAAACTCCGGCTTAAATTTGTGATTTGTCATAAAATGCTAAAGGAAACCAGATGTCTCATCTTAAATGGTGCGATATTAAGCCTCAATTAAAGCGAGTGCATCTTTAATTTGAGCTCACGCTGAAAAAAAGTTGTTTTTCCAGAAACAAGCCGATCCCAGAGCAAACTGTCTGCACCCACTCCCAACATCCTGTTTCTCAGTTTGAGGTTTAATTTGGGCTCCTTTAATGAAGGCTCCTTTCATCATCTCCTTCTTCTGCAATTGTTTAATCACACTTAAGAACAGAGTGAGCAATAGCAGCTATTTACCAAAAGATTGTGTGATGACAGCATATGTCGAGAGAAAACACTTTTCTACAACCTTAAACCAACATTAAGACGAAAGTCTCCTGGCATTTAGTTTAGTTTTGATCTTAAACCAATTTTTAAAAGAGTAAGTATAATGTAATTATTTAATAGTTGTTTTGTTGAACTTGAAGCTAGACGGGTTGTGGTCTGAGGCCTAAATTCATATAATTACGTTCTTTACTTCCTTGTGTGTATCATTAGATCTGTACTATATAGAGTCATGAATGTCAACTTAAAAAAAAAAACATTTCTATAAAAGTATAAACAAGAATTACTGATATGGCCATTAATAATAATCAAAAATAAAATTTCCTTTCTGTTTAAATATGCAAAGCAGTACATTGGTGAAAAATGTATGACATCACAGTAGTTGAAGTAGTTGAAAGGTGTTTTGCCTGCAAGGCTTCACAGAAACGCAGCCCTGCAAGACAGAAGCATCAAAAACAAGTCCTGGTCCGTAAACTCAAAGGATAATCATTCTAGTTTAGAGTTATGAAACGTAGGAATATCAGAAGCAAACATGTGAAACAATCATAGTCTGTCTTTTTCAACTAGATAAACCCTTTTAAAAAGCCTTGTAGTCACATCTAACACACAAACAGGAAGTGATTACCAGCCATCTTGAACTGCACTGTCCGAAAAATCATTATTTATAGGATGATGTTCTGTTTTGGTTAAGCTTTTTTTAGTGAACTTATGCCAAACTGGTGTTTGGCTGCTTAATATAATAAGGCGGAACAAAGATGGAGTGCAAACTTTTGCGACAGAGATTAGGTAAATAATTTTTCACTAAGGTAAAGCCTAAAAGAAAATGTCCTCTTCTGGCAAAAAAAAGAAAATAAAACAAAACCTGCCAATGTCTGTGGACCACAATATGTCAAGCTTACTTAGCAAAACCTCTTAGCTTCAGCTGTGATACATTGTTTTTATCTGTGTGTGAGCCAAATGCAGCTGGTGTCTGATTATCTGTGAATATTTTAGCGTTCCTTTCATCGTTTATGTGAAGCATTAGCTAGAGGTGACTTCCCATGGTCACACAACATGTTGAGGGCAGCAGATGGACTTGAGCTTGAATGGCATGAACGATGGTTTCCTATAAGTAATGTTTAGCTACATCGCTGCAGAGTACTTAAACACATCAATGAATTATGGACTTGTGCAGAAAAAAGAAAGACTGTATGATCAGTGTAAGCCATTTTGGTGGCAAAGTTTAAACATTCTGGTGCAGATAAAGTTAACAATACTGGTGAAAACCTGGTGTATAAATTACATCCAAATCCTTCCAGAATTTTCATATTTTTTGAAAGTGCTCATACAACTGAGCGCACCACAGAGAGCTTTTAAAAATCTACATAGGGTGCCGGTTTGTTTGGTCTCCAAGCTGCCGCTACCAGACATTTCTCCGGATTTCCTCCCCTTTACTTTGTCATTGAAATCCTCCCATTTTGAAGCCAAATTCAGGCTGGAGACTTTTAACATTGCTACATTTATTAAACTCTGCGTTCCAAGTGCACGGCCGTCATCCTTAAGCAATTTTTGGCTGCATTCTAGATTTATTTTCCCCTGATTGCATACTTCTCAATTTCAGTCAATAAAATTCAAAGACCTGAACACAAGTGGGAGGGGAAAAAAAATCACAATGTAAAAGTTAGCATTATCACAGATAAAACTAACACTCACTTTTACAAACTATCATCTTAACGTTTCTTTGATAAGCATGGCCTTGAATGAGTCAGGAATAAAATGATAACAAAATAAAGGAGTCTGGAAAAAAAGATTAACTCACTTAACTTTCAGTCTCAATGTTTCCTTTTCATGGGGGATAAAGCAGGATTTGTCTCGCCATATATCTCATTACAACAGAGTCAAGGTTCCTGTTAGCTGTAGGGCAAATGATGACCTACACAGGGCTAATGTGACTGGAATAATCTAATGATATAGGACATGTTTATAAGTAAAGCTTGACAGCTCTAGCTTTCTTCTCTGAGTTAACTTGCTGCTTTCCTTTATGGAAATACATGTTCAAAGTTCATACTTGTGAATGTAGGAGCACATGACAGCCATGTTGGTTGTGTTGACACTAATTTGGGAGAAGAGTTAACAACATAACCCGTGTGTTTTCATTAGCCATGATTGAGTTTCTGAAATAAATAATTTAAAACTGTTGTGAAACAGATGTAAAAAGAAACGTACATTTGTGGCGCTTTGTTTGAGTTGGCCAGTTTGAATCCATTGCTTTAACAGAAACTAAATGAAAACATTAGAGATTAATTTCGTTGATTTTCACTAAATTAGAAGTGGTTTCATCCACCCTGTAAACAATCTGCTCCTCCACACCGAGATGTCCGTGCGTCCAGACTAGCCGTTTTTAGCCTCATGCTAGCTTTCAACGCATTAAACTGTAATAACTCGATGAATTTGTGATTATCTACCACAACCACAGTCAGAGCCAACCCGAACACGCTACACAGCCTCTGTATTTTAAGGCTGCAACTAAATACTTGAGCCCAAACGAGACTACGGTCGGGATAAGGAAGCTGGCTCGTTAGCTAACTTGCTAGGCCATCATCAAGTAGAGAGGCTCGGGCGATGGATGAACCCAAGGAAGGTCACATCCTCAACAACGTTGGGTCCAGGGAAAGAAAAACCAGCTCGGAAACTCTTTAAACACCTAGATACGACAATCCAACCCACTCTGCTGGGCTAATACAGCCAAATTAAGCAGTATTAACGAGTTTTGGGTGAGGTGTGAAAGTGGAGAAAAGCCCCATACATCGCACGTTAGCTCCCCTTTAGTAATAGCCAGCTAGCTCGTCAGTTATAACTTTGGACCGAGTCGCGGAGGAAACAACACGCAGAGTGAACTCAAGCTTTCAGCGTGGGTCGGTATTAAGGCCTCACCTCGTTTCGACCTGGGTGAGCTCCTTCTGCTGGCTCTTTCTTCTTCCAGCGCAGCTGTTATCTCGGGGTTGTCTTCCACTGTGTACCACACCAGCAGCTCCTCTCCTGGCCCGATAGGCTGCAACGATGTGAGATGAGCCCGGCAGCCAATCAGAGCGCGGCTTGCTGGGAGGCAGCGCTCGGGTATTTGGACTACTGTGCATCTAATCTGTCTTATAACGCTTATGGAGCAGGGTTATTAACAGAGCTGGGTACAGCACCCACAAATTATACACTCCAGCAGGAGTAGCAGTGCTTCCGCATAGTTTTTACTCAAAAGTAAAACATATTTGTTAAAAACACTACTTATGTACCAGAGTTGGAGGGCAGAGTACCCGAAAGTTGTACTATACAGTAGCACTACTTAAATATGTTTTTATTAAAGCAAAAGTAAAAAGTAGCCATCCAAGAAATTACTCAAGTAAGAGTAAAATGTATTTGGTAAAAGGTCTACTTAAGTACTGACTGACTGATCAAATTATCAATCATTCCATATTTAACAATTACATTATCAGGTGGACTAAAATATAAAATTAAGTGGAAATTTTGGTATTCTAAGGACAAAAATGACAGCAATTCATACAAGTAAAAAAATAAATAATAATAATAATAATAATAAATAAACTCAGGCAAAAATGGTGTGTCTCCAAATTAGTTTCTTTCATTATAAAATTTATGAAACTTTAATAAAAAAAACTGCAGGTATATGTCTGTGTCTGGTGGATTTTTGGTTAAAACATGTTTGTTTTTTATTCAGTGGGTCGAGAGTCCATACATTTTACTCAAGTAAGAGTAGTGATACTTCATAATATAATTACTCAAGTAAAAGTAAAAAGTACAGTGTAGTAAAAATACTCCTATAAGTAATTTAAAAAAAAGTTATTCAAGAAAATGTAATTAAGTAAATGTAACTAGTTACAACCCAACTCTGGTAGTCATCAGTTTCATATTGGAAGAAATTGATTAGGAAAATAAAAACCTTTGTCTGATTTTGTTATTTTGTAATTATGTCATGTTTTCATTTTGGTCCTTGAAAATCCCACAATATTCACATAACTTTTTATTTTGATCTGTTATTAAATTAAATTACGTTTTGATCAGTTACTTAGTCTTTGCCTATTAACCAAATACTATTTTACTCTTGAGTAATTTCTTGGAAAGATATTTTTTACTTTTACATGAGTTAAAAAACAAACAATCAGCCTCATGCATCTTGTAAAAATCCAAACTACTTTACAACCTAATTAACATTAATGCTGCTTGGAACTGCAGCAGAACAACAATGTTTAATTTTATGATAATTAATTTGACAACTTTAATGTGAATCACTTTTTTTCTTAACCCTAACATGGGAAGGAAAATAATATCTTTAAACTTGTCTGTACGTAAAATTCTAAAAATATAAATTTCACCAAAATGAAATAAAAACATATTCAGATTAGTTTAGCATATTTCTAACAAGGGTTTGAATTTATTGTTTAGAGTCAATTTATTTCTGGTCTCTGTTGCATCATCAATGTCTGATCCATTTTCTAAAGCCAAAGTGTGAATGATGGCCTCTAAACTCTGGGAGGATCCATCAGGGTGATAAAGCTTTACTGTGTCGTTAGCAGCTGACAAGATAAACGTGTAGCTGTGAAAGAAAATGGGAACAAAATGTGGAGGTAATTTTTATTTCACAACTTCGATTGAAACAAAATCAGCAGCTTTACCAACTAAACTAGGGAAAGCTTTTGACATGTGAACCCATCACATGTGGTACCGACTCCACCTGCTTCACATGTGTAACATGAAAGTTTTTACCTAAAGCTAGCAGTGACTGAGGATTTACAATCACCAACAGAAAAAAGAGGAAATGGTAGAAGAACAGGCATCAGAGGATATCAGTGGTGGCATCTAAAATTGAGCCATAGGAAGTTACAGGACCGGGAAACATTTTTCAACCAGCTGAGACCAGAAAATTAGTTTTATCTTCAGGGTATCAAAAATGCTAAACTAAACAATCCAATTTTTGCTTATGATTTTTGTTCTCCAGATCTAATGTGGCCAGGATTATTCTGTTTTACAGCACACTGGCTTTGTTGCTGCTGAATAACAGCATTCAGTAAAGATGAATCCTTGTCCATTCTTGATGGTTATGCAGGAGGCTCCACTTCTGCTTTTCAAAGTGTGTGATTGCGCATTGAATTAGGGGTTGTGGTCAGCAGCAACTTATTTGGTTTTAAGTGACAGCTTATTCTGAAATGAGCTCCAAGCAGGCAGAACTGAGTATTTATCTCATTATCTAAGAATTATTTTGCGCATAAAACATAATAAACATGGTTTATACAGCCCATAGAACCTATCTTAACCTCTTCAAGGAAACATTATGGGTCACCTGTATTTAAATCTTAGTGTATGTAAACCTGTGGGATTGAAAAAAGGAAAAATATCCCTCTCATTATGCTTGTATTTATTAAATAGAAATTGTTTTGGTAATCCTAAAAAGCAAAGGGAAGTTTTAGACTGTATCTATGTAAATATGTGGTTTAAGTTGTATTTTAGTGTGTTAATTCAGTACAAACTAAACTATGACTTCATGTAACAAGATGTCTGCTTTCCAAAAACCAATCCAGATCAACCAGTTCATGAATCTACAGCATAGCGGGTCGCATGTCCAGACGCGAGTCTTTAACTTACCCTCAAAACTTTGTAGTAAATGGCTCTGTTGATCTCCAGTGGAAACAGATTCTGCTCCTCACTGGAACGAGCCCAGTTCACATACCGGAGCCAGTTCCCCTTCAGCGGGTCTGTGGCGTCGATGCACATCCATCCCCGAGCCGGGAAATAAACCTGCAGCGCACCATCGAGACAACCGGGTCAAAACATGAGCCGCCGGGCCGCGTGGCACGACTTTTAGGGAAAAACTCGGGTCACGCTTGAAAACTGGAAGCTGAAATATTATTTATGACATTTACCACAAGTACACTGCAAAAACACAAAGTGTTTGGTCTAGTTTTTAGGGCAAATATCTTAGAAGAGTTGAAATAAAATAAAACTAACTGACAGATAACCTTTCAGAAAGATACAGGAGAATGTTATAAGTAAATAATTCCTTAATATCTATGAAAAAGCGTCGCCTCTATTGGCAGATTATTTAACTGATAACATGTCAACACTGCTAGTTAAATAATCCAACAGATTATTTCATGATAGCATCATGTTATCACTGCTAGTTAAATAATCTAGTGATAATCCAGCAGATTATTTCATAACATCATATTAGTATGATGAAATAATCTGCCAGATTATTTCACTTTTAACTGTGGAATAATCTTGCAATTGAACAGTCATTTTTTCATCAATATTAAGTTATTAGTGATTTGAAATGTATCTTTCTGAAAAGTTGCTTGTAAGTTTATTTTTCTTATTTCAAGTGTTTTCAGATATTTGCACTAGAAACTGGACCAAAAACTTGGTAAGATTTTGTGTTTTTGCAGTGCGGTAGCAGTGGGGGTGTCAAGAAGTTTTTATTTTAACCTTTATTAAAACTCCTGCACTTGACTAAATCATTTGTAAAGTCTTGTTAAATCCAGACACTCGGCTTGTTTTAGATTTCCAGGCTCAGATTTTTGGCACCAGGACGGCAGAAATCTTGGCAGAGATGGTTAAAAATAACAATTATAGTAATTCATCAAACATTAATTTATTGTTTCCCACACTGTGGCTCAGTGAAGGTTTTCAGACTGTTTTGTTTTCCACGTGAAAATGAATTATTGTGCTACACACCTCCCACATGTAAACATTACTGGGGACCTGTGACCTCTTCTTCTTCTCTCCAATAAATGGACCAAACCGTTTCCCCTTTGGGATCACTGTGGTGGCCCAAACACCTAAAAATACAAAAATACATTATTATTAATAATAATAATAATAATAATAATAATAATAATAATAATATCTTTACAGCAGTAATTAATTTTGATTTATCTTCTATTCTGTTATCTCATTTCTGTTCTTATTTTTAACTGAGTAAACACAGTTACACCAAACTAGACTAATCTTTTTAAATCTGCTTTTGCTTAAATGTATTTGTTGTAATTTTTATATTGAAAAGTGCCACATAGTTTTACTGACTTATCGTGAAAGATGACATAGGAGTTAATGCATGACTCCATGTTTATTTATCAATTTAGGACAAATTAATGTTTTGGGTTTTTTTTTTGCTACATTGCAGTTTATAGATGTATAAACTAAATTAAACAATTTAATCTTTGCTCAAAGAATTACATTTACTTTCTACCCTTTTCAAGATAGAAAAACATAAAAACTCCTAAAACCTGCAAATTTTATATTCTCCATAACTCGGTAGCTACTACTTTTGCTCTTTTGCTGCACTTCTACCGACTTCAGTCTAAAATGGAAATAAGAGAGGAACGCAACATATTACAATTCAGTTCTTTTTATTGGCATTTTATTTCTAAAATAAAACTTCTAAATAGGTGTTTTGGTGTTTCAACTCTGGCCACTTTTATTTGGTAGGTGACGGAGTGAAAATGGGTTCTGGGGTAATAAAAGCATGCAGATCCCTGCACTAACTATTTACTAGACATAAACGTTAAGCTCAAAACTTTTACTGGATTACCATGATCATTTAATTTAACCACCGTGTTTATTCTGGCTGGCAGTAATATTAACCGTTTGGAGTGACCAGACCTGAACCCGACAGAATCTGTGGAGGCACAAAACATTAGGATGAGAAGGATTTTACTGCTGTAATGCCAATACAGATGTTTATTTATTTATCATTATGATGGATTTAAATAAATGTAATTAAATTCCAGACACAAACTTCTTATTCGAATTTATAATACAAAGTTGCCGTGGGTATGAATAATTCTGGTAAATTTTGACAAAATTTGTTTCTCATTTGATTATTTTTGACGTATTCAACATTTACAATAACAATTTTTTACTGTAGTGCAGCCATGAAATAGCAACTATAGAATTGCTGATCCTAGTTTTAAAAAAAACGTGGAAGAGCAGGAAAACTCACCGATGCGGCTCGGATTGACGGCCGACGGTCCGAGATTCAGATACTCTGGCAAGCCGCTCCACACATGAGCAGGAATTTCCTCCAGACTCTCCACTGACTCTCCAGAAAAAGCCATGATCCACACTAAGTGACGCAAACAGTGGGGGGAACAAACAACCCAACACACTGAAAGTTACTCAAGTTATCAGAAAAACTTCAGTTTTTAAAATGTTTCATCGTCACATCAGCAGCAACACGAAGCAAAGTTTGAAAAATGGGTGAATTCATCGTTGTTCTAACAAACCTGAAGGTAGATGCCACATTTATCAGACTTATACTTTCACTTTATTTTGTAAAGATTATGTTTAGCATGAGGAACAAACTTCCACTAGTTTTGGTCATTTACATTGAAAACCCAATATTTATGCCCAATTCAGGAAAGTCTAGAAAGATGTCATGGCTTTTTAAACTTTAAAGTTATTTCACAATGAGACAATAAATCAACCGTGTCTTTTTCTACTGACTTCCACACAATAACAGTATATATTCTGATAAACAAATGATCAATATCAATAGATATCTGATAGAATACTTAATATTCAATATATAGAACATATACTGAACTGCAATCCAGAACCGCACAGCATTCTGGGAGATGTAGGCAGAGGAAAGGCTTTAGCTTTTCAAGGTTAGTTAAAAGTAAGATTGGTGGCTTCAACTCACTCACTCACTCACTCACTCACTCTTTGGTTACCTAGCAACTCATTCTTTGGTTACCTAGCAACAACCTGCTGAGTAACTGGTACAGCAGCAGTCTAACCACTGTTCCTCATAACTGCTGGAAAAAAATAACAACTTTGAATTTAAACTGTTGATNGCTGCTTGGAACTGCAGCAGAACAACAATGTTTAATTTTATGATAATTAATTTGACAACTTTAATGTGAATCACTTTTTTTCTTAACCCTAACATGGGAAGGAAAATAATATCTTTAAACTTGTCTGTACGTAAAATTCTAAAAATATAAATTTCACCAAAATGAAATAAAAACATATTCAGATTAGTTTAGCATATTTCTAACAAGGGTTTGAATTTATTGTTTAGAGTCAATTTATTTCTGGTCTCTGTTGCATCATCAATGTCTGATCCATTTTCTAAAGCCAAAGTGTGAATGATGGCCTCTAAACTCTGGGAGGATCCATCAGGGTGATAAAGCTTTACTGTGTCGTTAGCAGCTGACAAGATAAACGTGTAGCTGTGAAAGAAAATGGGAACAAAATGTGGAGGTAATTTTTATTTCACAACTTCGATTGAAACAAAATCAGCAGCTTTACCAACTAAACTAGGGAAAGCTTTTGACATGTGAACCCATCACATGTGGTACCGACTCCACCTGCTTCACATGTGTAACATGAAAGTTTTTACCTAAAGCTAGCAGTGACTGAGGATTTACAATCACCAACAGAAAAAAGAGGAAATGGTAGAAGAACAGGCATCAGAGGATATCAGTGGTGGCATCTAAAATTGAGCCATAGGAAGTTACAGGACCGGGAAACATTTTTCAACCAGCTGAGACCAGAAAATTAGTTTTATCTTCAGGGTATCAAAAATGCTAAACTAAACAATCCAATTTTTGCTTATGATTTTTGTTCTCCAGATCTAATGTGGCCAGGATTATTCTGTTTTACAGCACACTGGCTTTGTTGCTGCTGAATAACAGCATTCAGTAAAGATGAATCCTTGTCCATTCTTGATGGTTATGCAGGAGGCTCCACTTCTGCTTTTCAAAGTGTGTGATTGCGCATTGAATTAGGGGTTGTGGTCAGCAGCAACTTATTTGGTTTTAAGTGACAGCTTATTCTGAAATGAGCTCCAAGCAGGCAGAACTGAGTATTTATCTCATTATCTAAGAATTATTTTGCGCATAAAACATAATAAACATGGTTTATACAGCCCATAGAACCTATCTTAACCTCTTCAAGGAAACATTATGGGTCACCTGTATTTAAATCTTAGTGTATGTAAACCTGTGGGATTGAAAAAAGGAAAAATATCCCTCTCATTATGCTTGTATTTATTAAATAGAAATTGTTTTGGTAATCCTAAAAAGCAAAGGGAAGTTTTAGACTGTATCTATGTAAATATGTGGTTTAAGTTGTATTTTAGTGTGTTAATTCAGTACAAACTAAACTATGACTTCATGTAACAAGATGTCTGCTTTCCAAAAACCAATCCAGATCAACCAGTTCATGAATCTACAGCATAGCGGGTCGCATGTCCAGACGCGAGTCTTTAACTTACCCTCAAAACTTTGTAGTAAATGGCTCTGTTGATCTCCAGTGGAAACAGATTCTGCTCCTCACTGGAACGAGCCCAGTTCACATACCGGAGCCAGTTCCCCTTCAGCGGGTCTGTGGCGTCGATGCACATCCATCCCCGAGCCGGGAAATAAACCTGCAGCGCACCATCGAGACAACCGGGTCAAAACATGAGCCGCCGGGCCGCGTGGCACGACTTTTAGGGAAAAACTCGGGTCACGCTTGAAAACTGGAAGCTGAAATATTATTTATGACATTTACCACAAGTACACTGCAAAAACACAAAGTGTTTGGTCTAGTTTTTAGGGCAAATATCTTAGAAGAGTTGAAATAAAATAAAACTAACTGACAGATAACCTTTCAGAAAGATACAGGAGAATGTTATAAGTAAATAATTCCTTAATATCTATGAAAAAGCGTCGCCTCTATTGGCAGATTATTTAACTGATAACATGTCAACACTGCTAGTTAAATAATCCAACAGATTATTTCATGATAGCATCATGTTATCACTGCTAGTTAAATAATCTAGTGATAATCCAGCAGATTATTTCATAACATCATATTAGTATGATGAAATAATCTGCCAGATTATTTCACTTTTAACTGTGGAATAATCTTGCAATTGAACAGTCATTTTTTCATCAATATTAAGTTATTAGTGATTTGAAATGTATCTTTCTGAAAAGTTGCTTGTAAGTTTATTTTTCTTATTTCAAGTGTTTTCAGATATTTGCACTAGAAACTGGACCAAAAACTTGGTAAGATTTTGTGTTTTTGCAGTGCGGTAGCAGTGGGGGTGTCAAGAAGTTTTTATTTTAACCTTTATTAAAACTCCTGCACTTGACTAAATCATTTGTAAAGTCTTGTTAAATCCAGACACTCGGCTTGTTTTAGATTTCCAGGCTCAGATTTTTGGCACCAGGACGGCAGAAATCTTGGCAGAGATGGTTAAAAATAACAATTATAGTAATTCATCAAACATTAATTTATTGTTTCCCACACTGTGGCTCAGTGAAGGTTTTCAGACTGTTTTGTTTTCCACGTGAAAATGAATTATTGTGCTACACACCTCCCACATGTAAACATTACTGGGGACCTGTGACCTCTTCTTCTTCTCTCCAATAAATGGACCAAACCGTTTCCCCTTTGGGATCACTGTGGTGGCCCAAACACCTAAAAATACAAAAATACATTATTATTAATAATAATAATAATAATAATAATAATAATAATAATATCTTTACAGCAGTAATTAATTTTGATTTATCTTCTATTCTGTTATCTCATTTCTGTTCTTATTTTTAACTGAGTAAACACAGTTACACCAAACTAGACTAATCTTTTTAAATCTGCTTTTGCTTAAATGTATTTGTTGTAATTTTTATATTGAAAAGTGCCACATAGTTTTACTGACTTATCGTGAAAGATGACATAGGAGTTAATGCATGACTCCATGTTTATTTATCAATTTAGGACAAATTAATGTTTTGGGTTTTTTTTTTGCTACATTGCAGTTTATAGATGTATAAACTAAATTAAACAATTTAATCTTTGCTCAAAGAATTACATTTACTTTCTACCCTTTTCAAGATAGAAAAACATAAAAACTCCTAAAACCTGCAAATTTTATATTCTCCATAACTCGGTAGCTACTACTTTTGCTCTTTTGCTGCACTTCTACCGACTTCAGTCTAAAATGGAAATAAGAGAGGAACGCAACATATTACAATTCAGTTCTTTTTATTGGCATTTTATTTCTAAAATAAAACTTCTAAATAGGTGTTTTGGTGTTTCAACTCTGGCCACTTTTATTTGGTAGGTGACGGAGTGAAAATGGGTTCTGGGGTAATAAAAGCATGCAGATCCCTGCACTAACTATTTACTAGACATAAACGTTAAGCTCAAAACTTTTACTGGATTACCATGATCATTTAATTTAACCACCGTGTTTATTCTGGCTGGCAGTAATATTAACCGTTTGGAGTGACCAGACCTGAACCCGACAGAATCTGTGGAGGCACAAAACATTAGGATGAGAAGGATTTTACTGCTGTAATGCCAATACAGATGTTTATTTATTTATCATTATGATGGATTTAAATAAATGTAATTAAATTCCAGACACAAACTTCTTATTCGAATTTATAATACAAAGTTGCCGTGGGTATGAATAATTCTGGTAAATTTTGACAAAATTTGTTTCTCATTTGATTATTTTTGACGTATTCAACATTTACAATAACAATTTTTTACTGTAGTGCAGCCATGAAATAGCAACTATAGAATTGCTGATCCTAGTTTTAAAAAAAACGTGGAAGAGCAGGAAAACTCACCGATGCGGCTCGGATTGACGGCCGACGGTCCGAGATTCAGATACTCTGGCAAGCCGCTCCACACATGAGCAGGAATTTCCTCCAGACTCTCCACTGACTCTCCAGAAAAAGCCATGATCCACACTAAGTGACGCAAACAGTGGGGGGAACAAACAACCCAACACACTGAAAGTTACTCAAGTTATCAGAAAAACTTCAGTTTTTAAAATGTTTCATCGTCACATCAGCAGCAACACGAAGCAAAGTTTGAAAAATGGGTGAATTCATCGTTGTTCTAACAAACCTGAAGGTAGATGCCACATTTATCAGACTTATACTTTCACTTTATTTTGTAAAGATTATGTTTAGCATGAGGAACAAACTTCCACTAGTTTTGGTCATTTACATTGAAAACCCAATATTTATGCCCAATTCAGGAAAGTCTAGAAAGATGTCATGGCTTTTTAAACTTTAAAGTTATTTCACAATGAGACAATAAATCAACCGTGTCTTTTTCTACTGACTTCCACACAATAACAGTATATATTCTGATAAACAAATGATCAATATCAATAGATATCTGATAGAATACTTAATATTCAATATATAGAACATATACTGAACTGCAATCCAGAACCGCACAGCATTCTGGGAGATGTAGGCAGAGGAAAGGCTTTAGCTTTTCAAGGTTAGTTAAAAGTAAGATTGGTGGCTTCAACTCACTCACTCACTCACTCACTCACTCTTTGGTTACCTAGCAACTCATTCTTTGGTTACCTAGCAACAACCTGCTGAGTAACTGGTACAGCAGCAGTCTAACCACTGTTCCTCATAACTGCTGGAAAAAAATAACAACTTTGAATTTAAACTGTTGATCAAACAGGAAATGTCACGCCACCAATTTGTCAGTATTTCAGATATTTAAAACAAAAACTAATCAATAATTATGTGAAATTATTATATCATTTTTCAGCCATATTATTCATAACAGTTGAATTAAATGGGCTGCATTTTAAGGAAACACCTCAAGCACTTGTTTTCTGAAACATCATAAAATAAAAAAATAAAAAGATTCAAGAATATTTCAGGAAGAGAAACTCATCCAAGTGTTTATCCACTCTGGCTCCCTGAGCTCAGAGAACAGACTTTAAAATACTGCTGTTCGTTTATAAATCACTGAACGGCTTAGTATCATGATACATTAAAGGTCTGCTGTTGTTATATCAACCTTCCAGAAAACTCATGGTTCTGGTCCGCAGAACCAGAACTAGAGAAGCAGCATTCAGCTTCTATGCTCCACAAATCTGAAACAAACTTACAGAAAACTGCAAAACAGCCAAAACACTGAGTTCCTTTAAATCAAGAATTAGAACCAGGGTCTTAAAAAGGCTTAACAACCATAAAGAAGGCTGGTTCTGGTTCTGTCCTGTTCTGTACAGAACCATCTTAAAATCAAGATGGTTCTGGACAATCCTGACCATCCGCTCCATGAATCTAGAAAAACAGAATCAGAGGCTTTTTCTAATTCGCTGTGATCCAGACTGCTACAGGAGATTTTTACTACCTACGGCCATCAGCTGCTACAGTAACGCTTTAATTAAATGAGCTACAACAACTTTTAGTTTCCCTTTGGGATCAATAAAGTACTTTTGGATTTAATTAAGTTTAAACGCCGTCTGTTTAGAGTTACCTTTGGTTTCTAGTAACAATCCATAGAGATCAATACATTTGATGTGGATTTTATTGATGATTTTGATGATCACATTTGACTAAATGTAATGTTTGTTTCATAATTATTGACTGCATGCTGTTTTTATGGTGTGAAGCACTCTGAGCTGCTCTGTTGCTGAAATGTGATAAACTGAATTAAAATCTGCTTTAAACGTATTCACAGTTTTCACTGTTTGTTTTGTTTCCATGATGCAGTTTGTTCACAAACGTCTTCTAACAAACCTCTGAGACTTTCACAGAACAGCCGGATCTATTAAACTACATACAGGAGATTTTAATTAGTTGCATCTGAGAAAATAATCAGTCATTCACAAAAACATTTATGCAGTGTTATCCTGTTGATCTGGCCCTTAAAATCCAAATAACAGGAAAAAATGAGAAAAGTTAAAAGTAAATGAAGAGTTTTAGTAATGCGTTACAAAAATAATTTTAAAAACTGAGTTTTTCTTGTAAGAAAGATTCAAATTTTCCCCCCATTTTCTTAAATCTTGCTCACTCGTCTTAGATCTCCATCCAGGAACATAAACATGTTTTCTTCCTCCAAAGTGGGAGGAAAGCCGATTGTTGAGGACAACAATGAGCTGCTGAAGTGAGGTGGGCTGGGCTCTCACTCATCACCTTCATTAAATATGAATCCATCCCACAAGGTCCCAGCGCAGACATCCCGACCTGACATAAACATGAGGAATCCACCATGGAAACCAGCAGAAAAATGACAGCAGAAACGCATATTATTCTCTTTGTCTCCATCTGACTGGATCACGCTTCGCCTTTTTTTTTTTTTTTTTAAGCTGATTCCTGCTAATAAAATGGATCAACTTTTTATTGGCCAGCCCATTCACGTTGATTAATTAATTATTTTTTTATTTTTTTTTTTTTTACTGAAGTTGCGATCGGACATTTTTAAACCTCCCTCGTAGCTGAAGTTCAATCAACAAACCATTTTTTTGTACCGCCTCTGCGCGTACAGCGGCGTGCGCAAAGCGGGTTTTTACACCGTTTTTAAAAAATAAAAGTTGAATAAAAGATTATTTAAAAGGTCCAGAGCAGCAGCGGCTGAGGGATGTAGTTTATTGTTACCCCTGGCTGTATGCAAGCCGTCCTCTCCCCTTTTCTCTCTCTCCCCCCCCGATCCTCCTGCTGCTGCTCCGGAGTAAGGTGGTTTGTTGAGGCTTTTTCTGCCCCCCATGTTCCCTCCCGTAAGGTGCTTTTTGGGGAGCGGGGTTTAGGATACTCGGAGGCGCACTTACCTGCGTTTGTCTGGGACCTGGGGCTTGGGGTTTTAATGCTCTACCTGCTTTCCATCTGCTGAAAATGGCGGATGGAGGCTTGAGTCGGGAGGCTTTTCAGTGGAGTCCGGATCGTGGTGTGGTGGAGTTGGGAGAGGCAGTCTGTCAGAGCCGATGGTGGAGCTGCGAGGCTCAGGTCAGACCGGGAAGGGCGAGAAAAGGCAGCTTTTCTAGGAGGCAGGAGGCTGTTTTCCTCCTGCAGGTCCGGTCCACTCTGCAGCCCCACAGCCAGAAACCAGGCCAATTAAGTAGATTCATCTGTGAGCATAATGGGCCTGTAGGATGGTGCCATCTGTGCGTCCATGAATAGCCGAGACGAACTCAAGAAAAGGAGGAACAGAATGATGTTTAACTTGGAAAAGCAACAGGAAATTCACGTTTCTTTGCATTTAGTTAACATTTTTAAACAAATACGGGCTGAAAACAACACGTTATTGTCATCTCAAGAACTGGTTGACCTTAAAATTTGAATATAAAACATTTGAAAAGAAGATGGTAAGTAACTAAAATAAGTTTATTTTTAAGGATTGGAGTTGGTCTAGGAAAGCTCATTGGATTATATTCAACACAGTTTAAGTTTTTTAAAAATATATATTTCAATTCAGATCAGCTCAAAAAGACGTCAAGCTTGGATCTGAACCCAGAGGTCAACACACACAAAAATTATGTAAAAACATAAAATACATTTTAATTATTTTTTTCTAGCTACTATCTATAATAATATTTATTAATATTTACTGGTCTCCTTTTTGAGTGATTGCAGCAATTAATTTTTCTCTGCACTGCATAAACAGAAAAATCTTACCAAGCATTTTTTCCTTTGTCTAATTTCAAATGCAAATATCTTATTACAATTTAAATAGGATAAAACTAGTTCCAGAAAGGCAGGAGCTTTTTGTAAGCAAATAATTATTGAATATTGATTCTGAAAAAATATTAGATCCGCTGGAAGATTATTTCGCTTATTTTCTGCATGTTGTAGAAAATAATCTGCCAGTGGAACTAATATGTTTTAAAAATCAAAATTCAAAAATTATTTACTGAAGACAAGTTCCTCTGTGTTGCTAAAGTTACTTGTAAGTTAGTTTTGACTTATTTCAAGTGTACAAAGATATTTGCAAAAAAAACTAGACAAAAAAAAGTAAGATTTCCTGGTTTTGCAGTGCAAAGAAAAACGAATGTTTGTTGTAACTCAAACTGATACGGGAGACGTCTGGTGGAGACGAATAAATGCTGTTAGACCTTAGACATAATAGCCAGAAAAACAATTCAGATGTTTTTACATTGTTTGCTTATCTAGCAACCCTGAACAGGAGAATCTGGTTTATATCAACATTATTAGATTATTTTTCTCCTTTTGCTCTTTCCTTTGGTTTATTATTTGTTGGTATTTTAGTTCATGTAAAGCTCTTTGAGTTGCCTTGTTGCTGAAAATGTGCTGCATAATTAAAATGACCTCTTATTGCTCTTGGTTCAGGCCCGGCGTCGTTGACCGTTCTCCCAGTGCATGCTGGGTTTCTCTGGGTACTCCGGCTTCCTCCCACTCTCCAAAAACATGAGCGCTGGGTTAACTGGTTTCTCCAAACTGCCTTCAGACATGAGTGTGTATCTGTGTGTCCATCAGCATCACAGAGGTCAAATGTCAGCCTAACAGTGGCGTGTCTGGACTGTCGGGGGAAGCTGGAGGGAATCCACTCATGCAGAAAAACCAGAAAGGGGATTTAAATCTTTGTGCTGCAAGGAAAAATATTGTTAGCAACATAAAGAAAGGTGTGTTTAGTAATTTACATCTGTAGTTTCTGCTTTAGTTAGATTAGGGGTGTCCAACGTGTGGCCCGGGGGCCATTTGTGGCCCTCTTGATGATATTATGTGGGCCCCGATTGCAATTCTGCAATGAGGCACAGCTGGTTGATGTGCTTCTTTTATCACAAAACCCCCACAAAATAAAAATAAAAAATGTTTCAGTGTTAGTGGTAGAGCAAACTAACTCTCAGGTTTCTGCATTTATCTTATTTTTGCAGTAAATAAAACCGGAAACAGCTTCTACTCAAAAGCTACATTAATAAACAAAGAGCAACTTCCTGTTCTTGTTTAAAGGAGAATAAAATAAATAACTCAAAAAACAGTGCTGTCCTATAATTTATGTTTTGGAGCTACAATCATTTATGGATACATTTTTTTACACTAATCTTTTGGTTTTGTTCAAAACATTTTTAAATTCAATATTGAGCTGATGAAATAATAATAAAAAGCTACAATATGCTTTATTTTTTTTTTAAAATGCAATAAAAGTTAACATTTTGCGTCCCTCCTGTGTTTCCAGCTTCATGATTGTGACCCTCATTGTTTGGACTTGTCAGCATTAGAAACTAATTTTAATCTCCTTCGTGTTGCTGAATAAACATTTCTCTGTTTCTTTCTTCATTTAGTTTTTTCCTGTTTGTTGCATGAAAAACTCCTGGATCAGATCGAGATCAGCAACTTCGGAAGATATTTCTGTGATTTACTTGCCTGGCTGCAGAGTTTGTCCTTTGCAGAGTGTTATGAAATGTTTTTATTTACTAACGGCTCACCAAGAAGGGATTTATTTCCTCCTAGAATGCAGCTACTGGTTTTTCCATCCAGTTATGGCTCTGAAATATGTATTTCATTTTATTTTTGCTGCTGGTTTTATCTGGAGTCAGATTCTGCTGCAGACAAGAAATGTAACAGAATATCTCTCATCTGTTCAGAAGATAAAGATTTTCCCTCGATCTGCCTCTCTAATTTACGATTTGGAAATTAACTGATTAATTTCCATCAACACTTTAAGGTCAAATTAATAATTTTCTTTTTAGCATTGCTCCATAATTCCTTTAAGACTTTAGCCTTTGTTTTAATCCTTTAAAGTGTTCTTAGATTTTTTTTTGTCTTTTACCTTTCAGCTACAAGTTACTATTAAAAAACGTATCACAACCAGGCCCGATTACTACTTTAGAACCAAGAAATATTTCAACAGAACCTCAAAAAAACAAACAAACAAAAAACATTAAAATTAAAGAACAGATGAAGAACAAAGTCACTGACGCCTATCCGACTGGAAAAGTTTACAAAGTATTTTGTATTTTCCGAAATATGTTTGACTTTGCAGTTTACCGCCTTCAAATTGGGTCTCTGTCTCTTTAAGAAGCTTCTGCTCTTTCTGAAACTCCGCCTTCAGGAAGTCGTCACAACAATTTTCCTCCATTAAGCTTTCAGCATCATCTTTAGGAGCTTTTTTCCACTGATAAGTAGTTTGTATTAGCAGCTCAAAAGATGTGCAGTTCCACTAGGTGTTTGCTAATTGCTGCTGCTAGTCTGGAGGAGCTGAGTAACCATTTTTATTTTCCATATTTCTTGTAGTTCAAGTTCAAAGATGCTGAAACTAGAAGTGGATACGTCAACTTAATTCAAATCAATAATGATGTCTATCCTGACAGACACATGATCAATACCAATAAATGAAATAGTTTGAAGGTTCAATAATGTCACTGAACTCTAATCCAGAGCCGCACAGCATTCTGGGAGATGTAGGCAAGAGGAAAGACTTTAGCTGCTTAATCTCTCATAGACATCTAAGCAAAGATGGTGGAATCTCCTAACTCACTCCCTCTTTCGTCACCTAGCAACGCACTCACTCTTTGGTCACCTAGCAACAATCTGTTGGGTAACTGGCACTGCAGAAGTTTAAGGTTTCACCGTTGCGCCATAACTGCTTTAAAATGAAAAAAAAAGAAGGTTGTGTAGTGAAAACTGTGGATGAAACAGAAAGGTTTGGTTGTATTTCAGATATTTAAAACAACAAAAAGATTAATAATGATCAATATCGACTGATAGGAAACCTTATGTCGTATTTTTCAGCCATATTGTCCAGCCCTGTTGAATTAACTCACGCAGTCCCACCCGGCATGGAAAAAGGTAAAACACACATCCAGCACACAGGCATGACTTTTTAAAAGCACACTGTTCCTGGTGAAAAATCCCCTAATGAGGATAATTTAAAGCAATTTTCCAAAGAAGAGTTGGGTCAGCATTCCTCCACAGTGATGTGAAAGACTCATTACGAGCTATCGCAATGGTGGAACAACCAGTTATTTAGGGAGCAATTACTTCTTCCTCATAGAGCCAAGCCGAACTCAAGCTGGTGAAGAGGCTGCAGTCAAAATGAGAACGATCCGCACATCAGCTAAGATCAACTGCGGAGCTTTAAAAGGTTGCATGAACTCTGTTTGGAGAAATATAAAGAGTGACTCAAGACTTTTGCACATTAGTGAGCACAGAGAACTTAATAAATCACTGCCGACTCATTACCTTTACATTTGTTAAAGTAAAAGCTCGTTTTTCCTGGCTAAACTTCTTAGTCATCATTGTAGCTTCTCCGATATAATAATTTTTTTTTTTTTTGCGTCACATTGCAGCTTTTATCATTAGGGTTACACGCATGTTGTGTTTGTGGCCACTAGAGGCCGCTGTGCGACCACAAACTACCAGCAGCAGCACTGAAATACGAAGCAAGCCACTGAATTATTGTTCTGTTTGCATGTTCCTCCTGCAAAAGAGTAAACATTTCCTTCTCTTAATGATTATGAGAGGACTGGTGCTACACATGTTTTACATTGTGATTTTTGGTGACCAAAACCACAGACATCACCTTTCTGACAGGCAAGAAAGGGAGGAAGTTACATAAAGAGTGAACTTCAGAGTCTGGTTCTGAGTTTTCAAGGTTTTTATTTAGAAGTGAACTAACTTTCTGGATTATGTCCAATTTAAGTAAAATTTTTATGTGGTAGATTAAAGTCAGAATTATGAAAGAAATAAAATAAAAATCTGAATTCTAAGAATAAAATAATTAAAATTCTGATGCTAATGTCAGAATTATGACAAAAGAATGTGAATTCTAAGAAAAATAAATTATCTAAATAAAGACAGAATTTCAATAAAAAAATAGAATTCAGAAAATAAAATCAGAATTCTGAGAGAAAATCTAGATTGGAAGAAAATTGTTAAATTCTAAGAAAAAATCCCTTTGAGATAAGAATGCTGAGGAGAAAATGTGAATAGTAAGAAAAATATAAATTTTCTGATCAGTCAAAATTACAAGAAAAAAGAAACAAACATCTGAGATTAAAGTCAGAATTCTGAGAAAATAAAATCTAAATTCTGAGAAAAAGACAGAATTGTGATACAAAATCTGCAGTTTAAGAAAAAAAAAATTCTAGGGAAAGAAAATCTAAATTTAATGCAGACTCCTGAGGGGGGAAAAATACAAATTATTCTGCTTGAGGTCATAATTATGTCTCTTTTTCGAATCGCCTTCTGAATCTCCTCTAAGTCTTTACAGATGACTTTCTTCTTCTTCTTGAGACTTTATGAATGAACTTTATAAAGGCTGTTGGAGCTGCTGACGCTGTCAGTCAGTTTTGCTGCATCATGTTTAGTAAAAGCAGACTAAGCTGGATGCAGGTCGCTGCCGTTTTGTTTATTCTCGTCGTACAAACTCCTGAGAGCAGAAGGGATTGATCCGCTC